CCCCTTTAACCGCTTGCCTGCATCATTAGCCACATCCTTCTCTACACACCCCACGCATGCTCCTTGTCCCTTGAATGCTTTTCCTTCCCTCCCTACTTAAAACGTGGTTACAAAGCACGGATCCACATGGATCCTCAGGATTTTTGCACTGGGTCACCCCAGGTTCACCATCAGATCACATAAAATGTCCATGGCTACAGCCTGCACCAAAAAAATCACGCACCCACTGTTTCATGGGGCTGCAATGGTGCAAAAACGTGGTTACAAAGCATGGATCCACATGGATCCTCAGGATTTTTGCATTGGGCTACCCCAAACTCACCGTCAGATCACGTTTGTGGCCACAGCATGAACCACAAAAATCATACATCCACTGTTTCGTTTAGAATATTTTTTTCTTGCTTTCCTCCTCTAAAAACTACGTGCGTGTTATGGTCAGGTGCATGTTATAGAGCGAAAAATACGGTACCCAGGTAGGACCAGAAGCAGCGCAAAGCGGTGCCACCCACCCATAACTCTGACGGCTGCTCCAGAAGGTTCCCATAGTCATTGGCATCAAAAGCTGTTGAGAGGTTGAGGAGAATTAACAGAGACCCATTTCCCCTGTCTCATTCCCAACAGGTCATCATACAGGGTGACCAAAGCAGTTTCTGTGCCAAAACTCCAATTTAAAGGGCTGTGGAAAATCAGTTTGGGAGTCCTCAACATCGCCTCTGAGACTGGTTCTATCAGCTAAGGCAGTGAGGCAGGTGGTGAACCAGCAGAATCCCTAATTCGTCCCAGTTGCCCAAAGAACACACACTCTAGATTCCACCCCTCCTTACAAATTGAAGAGACACCCTCAGGAGGCAAAGGTGCCCTTTCCTAGTGGTGTTTCTTCTTCCTGCTCACAGCTTCAGAATGCCACGTGTCCCATTCTTGGCGTAGATGTTGCCCACATCCGAAAGTCGTGTCTATGCCTGCCTTCTGGCGAGTTGCTGTTTTACCAAACATTTTGCCAGGCACAGTAGTGTTGAAGTTCTATTATTTGTTCATCTCTCACTCGCCGTCTTCTTCTTTCAGATGCCATTATTAACGAAAACTACACCTATCTGAAAGGGTTCTTGGAAGACCTGTCTGCTCCAGAGCGCAGCACCCTCATCCAGGATTGGGACACTGCAGGGCTGGTTTTCTTAGACTACATCCGGATCATTGAGATGCTTGACAGGATTCAGCAGGTGACACACTCAGGACGAGGATGGTGTCATTGCATTCTCCCAAGGAACTCCCAGGGGCTTGCACGCTTCTCCCTCATTTAATCCTCACAACAGCTCTGTGAGGAAGGGGAGGCTGAGAGGCAGTGATTGGCCCAAGGTCACCCAGGGAGCGTCATGGCTGCATGGCGACATGAACCCCAACCTCCCAGGTTCTAGTCCAATACTCTCATCACCGCACCGGACTGTTGCATCCTGCCTGCTCCCTTACAGAGAGCTCTCTTGGGAATTTTCCTCTTCCCAGTCACACACTGATCGAGCCTGACGTGTGTATTCAGGGAAAGCTACACTGTGTGCCCCTGTTGAAGCTAGTTCAAAATATAGGGAGTAATGCATGGGTAGGCAAACTAAGGCCCGGAGGCCGGATCTGGCCCAATCGCCTTCTAAATCTGGCCCGCGGACGGTCTGGGAATCAGTGTGTTTTCACATGAGTAGAATGAGCCCTTTTATTTAAAATGCACCTCTGGGTTAGAAAAAATAGAATATCATGGAAAAGTTCATTTATTTCAGTAATTCAACTTAAAAGATGAAACTAATATATGAGATAGACTCATGACATGCAAAGTGAGATATGTCAAGCCTTGATTTGTTATAATTGTGATGATCATGGCGTACAGCTGATGAAAACCCCAAATTAACAATCTCAGAAAATTAGAATATTAAATGAAATACAAGGCAAAACAAGGATTGCAAATAGAGCAAGACTGGACCTCTGAGAAGCAGAAGCATATCTCGCTTTGCATGTCCT